AAAGTCAAGAGAAGGAGACTGGCCCCTCCCTAAGGGCATCATGGTTCTAGTTGCTATTGTTGGGGGTTAGAATTAGTCTGGCGAGATTTTGTCTGGTAGGTGTAGGCTAATAAAGGAGCTGAACTGATTCTGGACTGTCTCGCTGTTGTTCTTGGGCTGAACCTGACAGAACGCATCTTTAGCAAGTAACAGCACCTAGCTAACCTTGGCTGATTTCATAAGCTAAACCTGGTTAGGACTTGGAAGGGGGAATTCCAGGGCTGTTAGCTAGAGTGGGAAATTGATTGAAGAAGGAAACAATGGCAAACCACTTATTTAATGCTATACAAAGTCAACTATGACTGGAGCATCATATAGGTCCAGAAAACAAAAGAAACTGAATTAATTGTATGAATGCCTTCATCAGAAATTGAGCTTAACTGGTGGGTGCCTTTAGCTTTTTAATCTGTTATGGAAAACATTGTTAACCTAGCTAAGAAAGAGAGACCAGATCTAAATAAAACTAACCTAAATGTAGGAACCTTCAGATCTCTTTGGTCTTGTGTGATGTTTTCAGCCAGGCTGGTTTCCTACATTTTAAATTCCTCTGCTTAAAAAAGGAAAGCAAAATCAAAGGGGGACAGCCATATCATGTGGGGTGATTAGTTCTCCTTTCAATTTAGGGGGAGGACATTTTGGATCGCAGCTCTGAGTTGATCTACACGGGGGAGATGTCGTGGATATATCAGCCTTACGGACGAAGCCAGCAGCGTGTCTTCTTCCTCTTTGATCACCAGATGGTTCTTTGCAAAAAGGTAAGGATATTTTTGGGTCTCCTCTGGATGAACAGGTTTGGGCCAGGGATGGTCAGTCTGTGCCCATAAGTTGTATTGGGCCCTGCAACATCCATTCTGCAGATGTTTTGAGCCACTGAAATGATCACTGTCGGTCCCTTGGGGGATAATTCTTCTCCTCCAAAAATGATCTGAACCAGGTCAAAATAGTTTGATTATGCTTACTTTGGTGATGTTGTGATGTCCTTACAGCACTCCCTGTGATCCTGGAATTTTTTATTTTAAGTGTTTTTCCTCTCCGGAAAGATGGTCACCCCTGTCCTAGGCCAGATACTAGCCTTCCTACATCCTTCCAAAGATATTTTGAAGCACACATTCGTTTTAAATGGTAAAGCAAAGTATACCTCTACACGTCTGCTGTTTATTTATTCTCATAAATCACTTTCTCCAGCAAAAAAAGGAAAAAAAGAGAGATGGAATTTGTGAGTGTAGAATACAAGCTAAAATAGGAAACGTTTGGCTAGATTCTTGCTTGTCTTAAAAATTCAGTGGGTAGCTTTACGCTGTCTTCTCTCTCCACTGCCCTGTCATTGCGTGGTTGTGACAGAACATGTCCTGCAATGCTGTTTTACACATGAGGGTAAAGGGTAGACAGATAGCATCGGGGAATTTACAGTAAAAATTTGCAATAATGATATTGGGAAATGTACAGTAAAAATTATGGCTGTTAGGAAAAATTGTACTCAAAAGTTAGGAGAAAT